TGCCCGTGCCTCGGCTACTGCCGGCGGACTGCTGCTGGGCTCTGGAGCTAGCGGAGCCCATCGGAGGTTTAACACTGGCTCTTCCTCCTTCCTACTAAATATTGAGCGTTGCTTATTCAGGTGCAGCAGGGGTTAAGTCGCTCATGCAGTCTCATCCCTGCCCGCTGCTCCGGGGTACTACTACCCCGGCCCGGGACAGGAGGAGGCAGGAGCCGGCTGCCCCTGCCCCGGCCTCGGCTCCGGGCGTGACTCGGGCGCCGACGGTAACTCCTAGCCGTCGGTCACATCGCAGAAGGGACATCTGCTAAATGAGCAAAAGGCTGCAGCCAGCCTCATTTCCCCGTAGTCACTCATCAGCTCCGTGTCACCGTGCCGCCCCCTCCGAAGCGCTTTGGAGGGGATTTGCAAGGGGAACTGGGCTGGTTCTCCAGCCTCTGGAAGGGTTAAATCCTTCCCCAAGCCCCTAGTTGCCCTTGTCCGCTCAGCCTGATTCAGAGACGTGCAATAAAATATGAAGCAAATTTATGGTCTGTTTCAAGCACTTTACTGCTGTATTTTTAAATTCATACATGCACATATAAGAACTATGATCTGTGAATAATTCGAAATGCTATGGCAAAATGATGCATTTTAGATCAAACATAACCGTTTTCCTACATAATTGTCTCGGATTAAAACAAAAAGAAAGATACATTTCGAACAGAGACAAAGCTGAAAATCTAATGACAGCCATAAACTGCTAGACAGTCATAAATTAACGTCTTCATCAAACACTGAAGGGATCAGCGCTTATCTAAATCAACAATTATTTCTTCCAAGAAGTTGCAGAACAGATTGCCCCTCTAATACTATTTTAAAATCCTCATAATTGAGGATTAGGGGCAAACAATCGCCTTTCCAGAGTAACCCTTCTTCCCTGCACCGAACAAAGTGCCAAGTGCCTGAGACGGGTCCGTTAGGAAACCTGCTGGGGGGTCCTGTCCCCTTGTGCCACTCCGGCATCCCTTCAGGCACGAGTTGCTTGCAGGAAGGGGCGGCAGGAGTCTTCTTCCTCCTCCCCCCTCCCGGGTTTTTGTAGGGAGTGCGAGGGGCTGGGAGCCCTCCGAGGAGGGAGCGGGGGAAGCGCGCAGCACCGGGGCGCAGCCGGCAGCGTTACAGCCGGCAGCGCAGAGGGGCTGCAGCCCCGCGCACCTGCCCTGCTGTGGCACCAACCCGGCGGGGGCCTGTGTGGTGAGACTCTGCTATAAAGATTTCATTTTTGGAAGGCAACTGAAAAATACAGTTCGAAGACAGTCAGCTCATTGGCTCACGAAATGGATTAGACGAGGAAAGACTTGCTGCTTGCATGAGGCTAGCGACTAAACTATTTGGAGGAAAGACATAGCTGGAAAGATGAACTGAGAAAAAAAAAAGTATTGTCAAAAGTCACCACGGGGCATGGTGACTTACTGTCTTTTACGTTGCTCTATCCCAGAACCTATACTTTTTTTTTCCAGCTTTGCTGTACTCTCATTGCTGTTTGAAAAAAGATACAAACCAAAACATTAGTGTCAAAGTCAGTTTAACAAAATACTGCAAGCTATAATACCGCAATGCTCATAGCAGGAATAGGTGAAGCTTAGGCTTATTTTAACTGTTTGTATTGGTGTAAATAGTTTCGAAGACAAGCACATTTCTGCTATTACAAATGATGCATTCACACAACCTCAGTACTTGAGATCCTAGGGAAGCCTGCTGCATAGCAAAACCTACACAGATGTAGTACTGAGGATTAACTGATAAGCATCCCAATACATTTTAATTCTTTGCTTGCAAATTAAAATACACAAATTTGTATTTTATATGCTTATTTATATGCAGCAACCATTTTTCATACTTACTACTATTTATAAACTTATGCATTAACTGAAGGATCATAATGGTTTTTGCAAGTTGCAGTTTTATATGGAGTTTTTGTAATTAGATCATTTTCTGATGTGCTGTGGATAGCAGGACATGACCAGCCATGATGCATGGGCAGGTTTAGGTTATGTACAGAAAAAACTAATTCACTTTCTATGCTCTGAGAGTTAAATAGCTCTATTCATACAAATTAAGCACATCATGCAGAAATTGATGTCTCAAGTACTGTTAAAATGCAATGCAATTTAAATAACTTCAAGAGAGCATCTAGTGTCAAAACAAATATTAGATAAAATACAGTGTTAGGAGCTACTGTTAATCTCCCCAGAAAGCTATCTTTCAGACCATCAAGGAAAGTTCACTCAAAAAATGTGCCCTTCAAGAAAACTTCTCAAATAACATGACTTTTTATAAACTTCAGTAACTTTCTAAATAATCTGGAGTTAAAGCAATTACAAGGTTAAAGCAATTACAAGGTTAAATTTGCAGGTTTACCTTTTCTAAGACGCTTCTTCAACAAGCCTCACAGACATACCTGACAAATCTTTCTGCATGAAAGAATGAAGAAATAGTGATCTCTTTAGTGGACAGCCTTCGTATTAAATATGTACTGGCAGAATTCAGCAGCTACAGTGATACTCAGAAAACCTAAGTTGTGCTTTGCTGGTGCAGTGCTTCATATTGCAACAATTTTCATTCATTTTCCCTTCTTTAAAATGAATCATCTAAGAGGACAGAACATTTTACACGAGGCAGTATATCTTGTAGTTCCTTGCAAAAGGAGAAGGTAAAGCCTAAGAATTATATTTGAAGATCAATGGTGGACGTCAAATCTTCATACTAATTTTGAATAATATCATAAGAATGTCAGAAGTCTCACTTTTCTTGCTCCTCTGGTAAGAACGCGCTGCAGTTTGGTGAGGGTAAAACAGACTTGATCATTTCCTAAATTCAAAGGAGTTGGTACATGACAATACTGAATTAATGACTTTTTTGCCTTACAGAAATACCTTCCAAGCTCAAGCAACACAAAAATGCCATATGCTGAATAAATCATTTAAAAATTAAAGGAATAGTTGTGAATCTGCAAGAAAAGTGTAAACGTAAGGTGGGAAAAATACGATGCACAGTCATTCAATATTAAAATAGATATATTCAATTTTATTTTGTCTTTGAAATACAAAATTCACTTAAGATGTTAGATTACTAAAATAATTGAAGTTTCAATAATCTTGCTCAGAAATTCACAATATACCTTATTTGAACTAAGAGCCTTAATGATGGATATTAACTATTAAAGGAGAACCTAACCATAGTTCATCTATATACATGTCAGTTTGCACAGTTAAGAGAGTTATTCACAATCTTTTGAATGTCAGAAAGCTCAATGATAAAGAAATAAAAGATCATTTATAATTCTACAAGTGAAATTCACAGGCCACTAGTTACTCATAAAAATATCAATGCTGGTAACAGTGACATGCAACTGGCTCAAAATTGTAAGCTAAACAACATCTCTTACGTGGTTTTGTATTGGTACATTAGGACATACTGACAGATGGGGAAGTCTGAGTCGCGAACAGGTACATGTAGATTAATATGATCCTTTGAGTAGTCTAACAGTTTGATAAAAGACAGTTTACAATAGCTTACAGCAGTATCAAACACCAGAATCAAAATGGAGCACATACAATCTGCAAATTAAAATTAAAAAAAAAAAATCACATTTTAGCGTTCACATTAGTTCATACGGAATTCACTTAAAATGTCTTTTCAGGTTCTCTAAAGGGCTGCACTGGCTTAGCACAGCAATCCTATATCAGAAAAAAGGTGAATTTTTTTTTTTTTGTAATAGCACAAGAAAATACCATTATAGACATAGGTAGTAACAGCTTACTGTGAGAGGCTGGTACTGACCAGCCAAGTTTTTTAAAGCTGATCAGTTAATGCACCATTTCACTAGAGGAGTAACTGAGGAATTCAATGGACAGCCCCATCCTCCTCCAGGCTCACCCATGAAACGGCACAGGCTACGCCTGCCCCGTTTGCCAATGAAACAGCCCAGCACTGCTGGGCTTGCAGGGAGCTCCCGCTTCTGAAGCTCAAAGGAGCGACGAGGAAGCAAAAGGCCTGACTCTCTTCTGCCAATCCACCCCCGTAGCAGCGGTGGCAGCTTGCAAACTGCACTAAAGTCTCTACTTAGATGATCTGGCCACTTGAGTGCCCTGGTGACAGATGCAAAGAGCTTGTCACTCCTGGGTTCAGAGGGCACCATCCAAAATCACATTGCTGCCTACGTGATGAAACAAACCTACAGACACGGCACTCCACTTCTGTGCAGTAAGTTCCAGCCAGCTTGGCTCCAGCTGGGACCTGCAGGGACGGGCCTGCTCATGCCATTGCGCTGCTTCGGTTGGCGGAGCAGGATACCAGAACCACAGGCCTTTCACTCCCTGCTCCCCCGGCACGGACTCATCCCTGGTCAGAGCAGCTGCTGACTCCAAATGAGTCACCTACTCTGCTGCCAAGTAGATGATCCGGAAGAAAACCCGGTCCCACCATTTCCTCTTTTCTGCTCTCACACACATGCCTTTTAAGGGAGAGTGAGGCTTACTCTACTGCAGGTAGAGTATGCTAAGATAGGCAGACCCTAACTTAGTGATGCTGGCAGCATTGGTTGGTAGGAAAAGTAATCTACCAGGACATTTCTTAGGTTCTTGATGCAGCACAGGTTACTAGGGGTACAGTTCTAGGACAAGCTGTGCAGGTCCTGCTTTGTTGAAAGTTTGACTAATCTGGTTCCTGGGGGAGGGGGGAAAGTAAAGGCAACCAACTCGATCCCCAGCCCAGTTTTCTCTCTTGTGTTGTGAAGAGTGCTCTCCAGTCCCAATGGAAGACCTTTAAGTGCCCTCGTGGAGTTTTCCTTCAAACCCTTGTAAAGCTTCTGACACTTTTCTTAAATGGATGTGTGCCTACAGACTGAATTTGCTGGTTTGGAGATAATCTAGTTCTTCTTTTAATTTCAAAATAGATACTATACAAACCGATCAGCAATTAATCTGAAATTACTAATGATTTGCATGCACTTCTGGCAGAGTCCCATTATGTCCTACCCAATTATGCAGCAGCCTGTGATATTCTAATTCGAAATCCTAAAAATAGAATAAAAATACAAAAAAAAAAGTCTTATGTTTAAAACAAATACCTACTGTTATTTTCACAGTTGCTTCAGGTTTGTTTCAAAGTTGGATGCCAAAAAAAGATTTATCATAACTGTGGTATGAGACATTTTACAGCTTACACTTAAGCAATTAATGTACTACAGTCAACAGGGTAATGATATCAATGTTTCCTCTCAATAAAACAAATTCTAATGTCCAAACTGGATTGTGAGCTATGGCTGAGTAGAGAATAGCTCATGTACTTACCTACAGAGTAACTGCAGCAGTAACTAACTTGAATATAAGAATCTTTCTATAAAAACAGATTTTTATTCTACGGCACAAAGCAATAATCAGGTTTTGCTGCTGAATAAATGTTGAACCAAAGTTAAGGCACTTAATCAACTGCAAAGCCCATTTAATGTAAGTATACTCCAACACTGGAGACATTATTGATATTATATATGAAGAGAAAATGCTTATCCAACATATCTCACAAAAGCACAGTTTTCTCCTCTGAGGTCTTGGAATGCAGCTGTGGCAATTTCTGAAAGCCTTTCTACTGACGCTTATTTAGTGAATGTGCTTTACACGAATAACTGAACAGTCTTAGACACAAATAATAATCAATAGTTCTAATCCTTAGTATGCACGTAGCAGTTTCCATCCATAGGCCATCAAGTGCTTTAGAGATTAGTAAGATTTCCCGTTTTAAAAGAAATGTAAGACTGAGGAACAGGGAATTTCAGCTTGTCGTTCTCAAAACTAGCTATTACCACTGGGTAGAGACATGTCAGGCAAAAGTTTTCTGAGGTCTGTTGTCTTTTGCACTGAGCAGAGTGCCAGGGGCTTTTTTTGAGCACCATGTCTCTGACAACACCAATGCACAGTATGCCAAAAAGGCAGCAGCGCAAGCAATGCAATCCTGGAAAAGGTGATCTTTTTAATGACTTGTTTGACAAGCACTGAGAATTTTCCCCAATGCCTTTGGGTACTGCAGCTCCAGATGAACCAGCAACTCACTCAGCATCTACAGGGCAAACGTGAATTTATGTTCACCTCTGCAACACCTCTGTGGTTGGCTAGCTATTTAGAGAAATGCAAATCCTGGCACAGACTAGATTAAGGGTTGGCTAGCTAAACTAACCTTCTCTTGCAGCAACTATTCATCTTCCAGTTTAACTTCTACGATTGATGACTGTACACTTGGGAGCACGAGGAGAAGTCTTGTTCATGTACAGCATTATTACTCAGCAGCCGGCCATGTGGGCACACATTTTGCTGTCACATCCAAACCAGAGGATTCTTAGGAACACAGGACAAAGCCCACTGACATGGCTACTCTCCCATTACAATTATCATCTTGGCATATTGAGAATGGACAGGCAAGAGAATTCTCATTAGACTCTGAAGCGATGGCTGGGAACAGAGATAGGGTCTAAAAATCTTCTTACAGCCTACACACTAGGAAATTCATTTATGAAAAAAGATTTTGTCACCCAGTCAAGCAGGCTGCGCAGCCAGTACACAGCTAAATTCTGTGACTGCCCAGGGTTTTCAGTTGGTCAGATTTTGGCCCCAAAGAAGAACATGTTTGAAGAAGGTATGAAGCATCAATAGGAAGTGTAACACAATTGACGTGGAGACAGTTATTCGGTATTATAGGACTTTAGATCTTCTTGCGTTTAGGCTTATTGTCTAGGTTATGCAATACTTTTTAGAATATAACTCTAAAATATATTAAAAAATCCAGGAAAAAAGTGTCAATCACAAGTTAGCTCACTGTGAAAGAGGAGGGCAATTTGGCTTTTAGATGACTAAAACCCTGTATTAGCACCAATTAACTCAAATTCCTTTATGTTTGTCTTTTTTCCCCTCTTAAACCATCAAGAAGGTTGAACTAAAGACTTAGGAGAGGTCATCTCCAACAGGAACCACTGATGCAAATAACTTTCCAATTTGTAAGCAGATAATTCCGTTTCCAAACAGAGGCTAGACTACTCTGCCTATGGATAACTTAGACACATTAAAACACCATTAAAAATAGTTTTAGAAATCACACTTGTCCTTAAAGACCTCTGTCATTCTTTTGCTTTTTTGGAAAAACTAACATACACAAGAAATTGTCAGAAGAAACTAACAAACAGACGTGTTACTAGTAAAACAGTAAGATAAAGATAAACAGAACGTAATTTTTGAGATGATAGCATCATTTCAAACAGGCTCATATATTTTCTCCCTGAAGAGTTCACTTTTGTGGCTCAAAAGCCAAAATACGTAATTTAGGCTTGATCTAGAGTCCATTAAAATCAATAGAACTTCCCCTCTGACGTTAATGGACCACAGGAAAAAAAATCACAGATTTTAATTTCTTTGCTTTGCACAAACAACAAAGCCTTCACCCTCAGTACATACCACTGAAGCCAGAGATGTGTCCCTAGTAAGACACTCCTGAAAATCATCCCCCCACCCATCTTCCACTGCATCTCCTATTTAAGGACTAAGACACGTAGGACCATGAAGAGAGCAGGATAAATAGAAAGTTAGGATGATAATTATTAGAAATCCTTTCCTTCCAGGGAATATGTCACATGGGGAATATGTCACCCATACAGAACTTTAAGTTCCCCCTTTCTTGCTGTTATGTTTCTTTGAGCAGATGCAGTGATGATGCATCCAGACGGTAAGTATATGGGACCTCTCAAACTAAAGAGAGGGAACCCTGTTAAGGAACAAAGCCTTTTGGCTCAAAGGACATCTGTGCAGTGTACCTCAATTATCAAGTTTCCAAGGAGTCCAAGCGGTTCCCAAGATACAGCTGCTGAGCCAAGTTTCCCATATATACAGCCTGGATTCAGCTTGAGGTCAGCCTCCCTGTAAATCCTGCTCTACTCATGCCCAAGAATTCAGGAATCCTTCTTGGAGGCACACCGGGCTATTTATGCAGCCCAGCTCTAGTCATCTCACCTCACTATGAACTCAGGCAGGACAGGTGGAGGTTGCATGTCCCAGCATCTGACATTCACCTCCAGTTCAAGGGCTTTTCTCCTTAGAAACAAACAGGAAGGAGATGAAAACAGAGGGAAAAAGCAAACATTCCCAAAAAATATAAAGTAGAGTGAGGAAACAGAGCAAACACTGAGATTAGTGGAAGGCATATAGGCAGCCACTCACTTTCTTAAGGACCTTAGCTTGTAACGAAAGGCAATATCAACATTTGGCAGAAGGATACCAAGGCCCATACGACTGTTGTCAAGTCTGACAGCTTTGTTTTCCACTAGTTCTACATCAAAATGAGCCAAAAGCAAGAAAAGAAACATCTTCATCTCATTCATTGCAAGGAACCTCCCTGGACACATGCTGATCCCAGAGCCAAAGGGCATTAGGAAATATTTCAGTTTTCTTCCTGCTTTGTAGAATGTGGTTTTCTTCTTGCCGTTTTCTATGTAACGATCAAACTTATACTCCTGAAAACAAAAGGGAGAGAGAGAGAACAATATGTAACAGAACAGTTACATATGAGTGGCTCTGTTTGTGTGATGGTAATGTTTCTAAAACCCAGAAAATATGATAAAGAGCAAGACAAGGAGCTGACAGCTTCTCCTTTTTCGTTGGTTCCCTCAAGTTTCATTAACTCACGTTATCTTCCCTGCAACACTCCTTAAATTCACTTACTTAGCTTAGCTCTTTTACATCAGGCTCCTTCAACTTCCACATCTCATCCACTAAATGTCTGGCCCGTATTGACTGTAATTAGATTTTGACCGCTTTGTAGCAGGGACAATGAACCTTAGTGGAAGGACAATTTTCTTGTAAAGCATCATATGCACTCAGTGTGGTACATACATCATGAATAAGAATAATCTGCCAAAGTCTGCAAATGTCTAGGAATAAATTAACGCATTGCACTTATCTTGTTCTTGCAAGGTAGAGTAAAATCTATCCTTCTGCACCCAGTGGTGCAGATTATTCAAAAACCAGACCTGATACTTTGCAGTCAATTTTCCCTCCAGTTGGAGATGGTTGCTGCTTAATTTGCCACATGTGACCTTCAAATGGTTTGCTCTGGAAGCTGTGTGCAGAGCAGGACAATTGCTAGTGAATGACCATTATAAAGAGTGTGTTTTTTAGGGCTTGAAGTTGTGCTTGTAACTTAGGTTCCATAAATTGAACACCTTTCTGATAATTTTCCAATAGCAGGATCACTGTTTAGAGATAATTCATGTTTTTGAATGAAGGAGATCTGGCAATCCTCACTCAGTCAACAGCAAATTAACCACTTATAAAATCCTCCTGCATGCTTTGAATAAAAATGACAGACACTTCTTGCTTATGGTCACTCATTAGCATTTGTCCTGCTTTGCATACATCTGCTATAGCACCAGCCATTTGGAGCTGGCTGGGAATAAGTCAGTCAAAAAGAAACCACCTCAACTGATTAAAAAATAAAACAAAACAGAACCCCAAAAAACCTCAAACGACACACTCATATGATCTACCTACTGTATTAAAGACTCTGAAAACCCTGCACTGAAGGTCTTGCTGTCGAGGAAAAGAGTGGTAGGAGAGGTGGCTTATGAGAACTCATTTCACAGGGTAATAAGTACAAGGTGCACTGGAGGGGATGTAACTTGCTGTGTTGAACATCAGGAGCTTTTTTCTCTAAATGGCAGAGGCTTGGATTTTCCATGAAGTTAATGGGGATACATGTGTGTTTCCACTGAGAAGCAATTCTTCTCAGCCTCTTTGAACATTTCAGCCAAGAGGAAGCATGTCTTTTTTTTTTTTTCCTGGTAAGTTATAACTTCCATGTGAAGTAACACAGTAACAAATGAAAACCCAAAATATCATCTCTTCCTTAAAAAAGATTCACTTTTTGAAATTTAAATCCTGCTGATCTATAAAAGCTGTGCTAAATATGAACTGTAATAGCTTTAAAATGAGCTCTTCACTTCACTGGAACATTTCCAGAAGGTGCATTCCTGGTGTCTGGAGCTGCTAAGGACTTCGATATGATACACATCCTGGACCAAACCTTATGCTTTCTTGGATTCTTACGAGTCATCTGAAAGCTGAAATTGATTTAAAAAAAATCTGCTGTCTAAGAAACTTGAAAAGCAGAAAAAAGTATGACATAAGAATGGAGCCAATGATAACAGTCACATCAAACCCATGCTTTTGTCATCAAAATCAGCAGGACTTGCTATTTTTTGCTTAACCAGGGAGCTGGCTTTTAAAGAAAGACTTACTTCTGACAACAAATGAACTTTCAGGCATTCACAGAGGCCTCTGTGGAAAGCAGAATGTGGATGGTGGTGGGGAAAAGGTGAAGAGACACTGAGCAAGAACAGGAGGCAAAGGTCTGAGTGGATGGCCTGTTAAGAGTATTATGGAAATCAAGCAGTCTCATATGACTGGCATAAATCTACCTTTGCCATGTCTTGTATTCAGCTTTGTTTGGGAAGCCAACACGTAGCGCTTCCTGCACAGATAATTCATTGTATGGGAACTACAGAATTCACTTGCTGAGTTCTGCAAATTTAGTTAGGATTTAGAGGTTCACTTACCCACTTTACAGAAAGTTGACTCATTTATTTTGGCTTTGAGTGAAGAAAGAGGTCACCAATATCTGCTTATACTTTTACAATATGGTGCCAGAACAGAACATGGCTTAAACCTAAATTTATGTACCCAGGATGAAAGCATTGCTACAAAATTATCGCACCAAGCTGCCTGTTTTCCCAAGAAAGTTTTCCGTAAATACATGACAAGCTCAAGACTGCACCTTTCAAAAAATTCAATCTCCATCTCTATCTGATCCTCAGTAGTTATTGTTGAAAGAACACTGCATATTTTAAGAAACAAACAGAACAGTGATTTCCCCACTTTTCGAGAGGGCCCATGTGCTGAAATCAATGTACTCTGCAAAGCGTGGATTGCTCATTCACTATCAAAAAGATAAAATATATGAACTAAAGCTGTACTGTGAAAGCGGAGCAGAGCTGATACTAAGCAGATATATTCAAGCAACAGAAATATGCTAACATATTCTGACAATTATTGAGTAAGGAAGTGGATCAGTTACCACACTGATGCTTTTGGTCTAGGACCTAAACAAACAGATGGACTTTTGACAATCAATAATGTCCTCCAAAATAAAGTGTTAAGAATAAAATAAGAAAAAACTTATTTGTTACTTGTTTCTTTTTAAGAACAAAAATATTAATCAAATATTTGTCAAATATATGGATTATGTTTTTAAAACATTAATTTTCTCAATAACCTCTGTCTTCCTTTTTGGGTGGGGTACAGACTGTTGAGCCCTACTTGATGTAATTTCCATTTTTGTGGCTACTGTGTTCATACCTACAACTATGCTTAGCTCCTACTAACTCCTACACATTCCACACCTCCTCTCACCGACTCCAGGGGCAT